AACTTCAAAGCATCTGTCCCTATTCACTGAATTGGAGCATAGAAGATAGGTAGGTCGTGAAGACACCTGCTTCTATTTTAGAACAAAGTAATTTTGTTTTTGCTCAGGCATATTGTTTGAGTTTGTCTCGACAAAATTTGTCTTCAATGGGGAGAACAGCATGAAAAGCCAACTTAAACATGTACAGAGAAGTGGTTTTGAAGTCCTTAGATGTATCCAGCCGTTTTAAAAGAAGTTTTTTTATAACTTTGATTTTGTTATATAGGACGGATGTCAAGAGCGATCGTGTTATGGTCGTTAACAAAGACTTAAGATGATTAAGTCCGCTTGAAATCTACCACACACAAAGCAAAGCCCGGTTAGCATAAATAAGTGCCTTAGAGCCTTTTGGGGATAGTAAATACATGCTTTCACTCTTAATGTTGGCCTACAGAATCAATATATCATCACAAGTATGTTGGCAAATAATCTAAAGCTGCATTTTTTGTAGGCACTTGAAGAGTTTTGGAGAACCAATGGATGGAATTTAGAGTAAGACAAATTTTGTTCATTTTCAGGTTTTCTCCATCAGCCAAGGCTTAAATAATTGCAAACTCTTTCGCCGTAAATATTGCTCTATGCGTTTGATATGCTAATCTTAGCACATAGTCTTTTAAGTCAAAAATTGAAAGTTTTGAGCATGTAATGCATCTTTTAGTCACACGTTTCTTAATATACTTTATGGCGGTGCGTAGTTCTGTTGCCATTCAAGAACACAATTATTAATGCCGAAGCCTAATTTGAATTTGCAGAGCGGTCAACCTGGTATTGCGTTAGTGTGTTCAGGATGAACAGGAAATAGTTGACAGAACAGTGAAGAGTACGGCACCAAAAGGCAGGCCGTATCTATTCCTACAAGCACGCATGAGTAAATTCAGTGATTTACATAGCCACCAAGCATCACGGCGAATAAATATAGGGAGTTGCACCAAACACCGTACGATATTCCCAAACCATTTGATACCATTAGGGTGAAATGAGAGAAGAGCAATATAGAGATATAAAGTTCTGCTAAATTACGAGTCACTAGCTCTTGAAGCTCATTACCTCTGTTAATTTGCATAGATACAACCTACTTGCTCGGCTTAGCATTTTTATAATTGATGAAGGTGTAAAGAAATGTTACACTTCTAGCGGCAAGTACTACAGAGCGCTTTTCGTGGTACGTAAATCTCAATCTACGAACTCGACAAACCTGTCAACGGCAATTAACAGTAAGATTAGGAGTTCCACAACTAAAAGCAATCCTCCTGAATGATTTATTAGGATCGGTAAAATTGTGGCAACAAAAGCGAAATACAAGTGCTAAGGTTGTAAGAGACATCAATGAGAACATATCAAAAGCTATGCACTGAAAATGCACCCATTTTACTTATCGCGTAGATCTGTATTTGCTAGGCTGTGTGAACCATCCTAACGCTATGAATTACATGATTTCAGAAGCCATTACACCCCTTTTAGTGGTAGTGCATGAAGGCTTTTGCCTTCCACAAATCCATTTTGTAGGTGACTTGAGAAGAGGCGAACACCAGATTTACTAATTTACTAATTCAGATTAGAATGCTATTAAATGCTTATTTACCAAGCTTACTAGCTAATCAAACAGTACCTTCAAGGCAGTTTTCAGAAAACTACCACTAAGCAAATAAAAATTCCAAAAACAATATTTCTTGAAACCATGATCTGATCGAAGTAGAAAGCAAACATATTTGGTCATCCGCTAGGTGTAACTAATCCAAATTTCAAACACTAGCATACACATCAATACAATTGTCTGCGACATTATTACGGACTGAATCACGTACATGAGGTAGGTCTACAATTTTTCTTATAAACCGGATATTAACACGACAAACTTTGCGCATACAATCACATGTGCTCGTTAATGGTCTCATAGGTGTCCATCAGAATTAACAAGATATAAGGATAGCTCCAAACCGACGGCTTCCTTTGCTTAAAGGAATCTGATCGTGATATTTCCGCGTTTGCCTTGCAAGCATCTTCAATCAAGCTATCACCTTTGGGCAGATGGTACGTTAATGATTGAATTATTTACAGATAGAAAAACTAGTAGGGCGGAGAAATCATAAAAATGCATGCTTTTTCTTGTATTGTCTCAATTTACCAGTTTTCTTCCCCTTTAATCACGTTGTCTTATAAATGCAGACAAATATGAAGTTGACATCTCACAATCTTCATGGTAGAGATAAGTGAATCCCACATGCATGCTAGATTTCCGGGATAGAATCAAACAAAGTATTTGTGTCTGTTGGTGATTTTACCTATTTAATGGTTACCTCCTTCTATCTATTATAATTTTGAGTTGTCCTGATGCATAAAGCGGATTGCCTGATGCCAGTTGAATTGTGCGTTGCAATTATTGTAAAACAAATAAATTTGAGAAATTTTACTGATTTCATCAAAATTAACAATCATATAAACAAGTTTGGAGTGAAGAATAGTAGACACATCGGCGTAATAATTGCCTAAAATTGGGCACAGAAAACGTCTGATGTGCTATTAATTAACACACAACAGATGCCTATGTGAATTTATTTATTAAAAGCGTACATCAAGATGTGTTGACCTCATTTTACTCAATAGTGAGTACTCAACTTTCTCATAGTAATTCGTCTAAGGAAACTTGGACTACCCTAAAATGATAAGCAAGTGTTGAACCATTTCTTCGGATTTCACAATGCAACGCCAAGAAAATATCAGTAAGTTCATTCCTCAGAAGAAGTAGAGTGATTGTTTCTGATTGCTGTTACAAATACTTGCTCCTTTAATGCCGCTAAATACTGCTCTAAACTTGCTCAAAAAATCGCATTCACTAACATAGCTCAAACTAGACCTGTAGAGGACATGCAAATTTCTCAACTTCAGAACAAAGTTGAAGTTTATCGCTGAATTGATCCTGTTTATAGCATGACACTAATTTTTTCCCCTTTTCGTAAATATTGTGGAGCGAGACTCATCGGTCTCCGCTTCCCTATTCCTAGCGTTCTTAGACAGGTCCGGTTGATTAATTTTGGACATGTTTATTAAATGACGGCCTGCCCCGTAAGGGATATGCTAGCGCGAACATGCACTGCAGTACTACAGAGCGTTGATGTTCAGTTGGGTCTGCCCTCATATAATTTAATTAGTAATTAGTGTAAAATTTGCCCCAACTATTTTCCACTTTTTGTCCCTTAAACTGTTTGAAGCACGACGCCAGCCATTCTTTCCAGTGTCTATTAAGTCATCTACTTTTCTGCAAAATGAAGATTTTTGTACAAACGAAACCGATGTGGAACGTTAGCTCTAAAATAATATGAATTGATAATCTTTGAAAAATAAAACACTGACTACCGCCTGACTTCTTGGCAAATCACTAAACGCAAAATCTGACAACAAAATTAATCAAGGTACAATCTTTAGGAGGCAACATGTTAAGACTATCATATTGTGGAAGGAAAATGAAACCGTCCTTATCATATTTTGTGGTAGGAAGCATTTGAGTCGGTTTTGCAGTTATTTACTCCTCATTCTACGGCATTCGACAAAACTCTCGTCTGTTCTACCATCTTACGTTGAAGGAGCGTTGTCTAGCGACTTTTCAAAAGCGGTCACTCTTCCCACAAGCATTAGATTTGCAGCCACTTTAACGGGCAATTTAACGAACCACAAAAGCAAATCTCAACACCTTATAACTTCATTATTTGTTGCTTCAAATGTTCCTTTGGTTCTTCAGAATGAAGCATTTGTTGTTGAATACCAAAATTGGCGTAAAAATCAACACTTAAAATATTTTTTAAAAGATCACCGGTTAATGACTTAATTGTATTTCTCTCCGAATAAATTAATCAATCAGCCACAGAAATGGATGGAGCGGGATCAGAAGGGGCAGCTTCATGTATCAGCAGAACTGACTGAAATGAATATGGAAGAAGACAATGCGTGAAAGAGAGATGCGTGTGATAATCCCCCAGAGGAGTTCGCAGCACTGTGACTTGTAGATAGAATAGGTGCCATCATGCTTCCACACAAAGGTTTTCAATATCCACATAGCCACGTAGTAAATGGAGAAAAATGATCACTGGACAGCCAACTTTCTTGGCTACTTGGTCTATGGAAGCTACTTGACGCCGTAGGGCTTTCACAGCGATGAATACCTTCATGTGGAGTAAAAGTAAAATCATTCAATTTAACACATAGACCCTTAGTTCATCAATTTGGTGCTTACATACGTTGATTTTATTTCCGATAGGTTTGACAATCTATGACGATGCTTGAATTCGAGCTTGTGTAATGAGTTCCAAATACCCAACTAGCTAAAAAACACCAACTAACTAGGCGGTGATTACGATGTTCTTAAAATATTTGGTCCATTCGCAAACAGATTAAAACAACGTCGTACTAACCCGCATGTAACACTATATGCTTAAAAACACATGACTAGTGACAAAATATTTTTTGGTTTTTTTTCAGTTGTTTCACATTTTCGCAGCATTTTCAATCCAGTTCGTAGAAGACTTTTGCCTTAATTTTGCAGTGTGTAATTTATTTTGACAAAGTTCAGGGTTGTTTGCTAACAAACGCTATGGAGTTAAGAGCGAAAAATGCAAAAATAGCTCTAAAGACTTAAAATAATTTGATCAATTCTCACAAATCTGCTTTTAATATGTATGTCAATGATGGAAGCAGAGAATTCGACCCTTACAAATAATTTGCTAAATCGATGGATGTGTGGCTGTCTTGTAAGTCTAAGTTGTAACATTGTTATACTAAAAAAATAATTTTGTTGTGCTAACCCAAGCCACTGCGCAAAATGCAATGACAGTTGGGAGCTAAGACTTTACCTAATCGCCCCAAAATGTACAGGTGGCTTGCCCAAAGGGGGTAGGACCATTTGGAAACCAAACATTTATAAGCCATTCTACTGTAATACGATAGTGGTTTATCCCTCGGTTCTGGTGAGGCGCCACTTTTGTGCCTCGAATTAGCCCCCTTGTACCTCGCTGGGTGGGCTGGCCTTTTGGGCCATGCCAATAGCCCAGACACCTTCTCCGTGCTGAATATATATTCTGCCCGAGTATTGTGTCTTCTTTCGTCTTCAGGGAGTCCCGGGACGCTACACTACAATTAATTCTATTCAACATGTACTTGATAATGCAGTCTCCGATTTACCTGTGAGTATTGCCCCTATTCGTGAACTTTTATTGGCTCAACTGATCTGAAATCTACGCTTTTGGACTTACTGTTGCAACTAGTTCACGAATACCTAACAGCAGGTAAAGCTGCGCAAAATGCGACCCACCAAATCTAATTAGCCAAATATACGCCTTTAAAATTGTCAGAGATGCGAATGCGCAGACAACAAATCTGTTTTAGGCCATTGTTTACAAACCCTATTTCCAAAATGCTTCCCTTCATGTGCTGGTCAAAATATTTCATTGCGTAAATAATCAAAAGCAGCTCAAATATGCCAATTCCCTTATACTTCGCGATTGAAATAACAAAGCAAAATGGTATGATCTTCTAGATGGCATGCCAAACAATTTGAAAGCCCGATTGACAAACGAACACCACAACATTAACCATGGGGCTTGACATTCACCTGAATCGAAATGTGGGTCAAATTAATTAATGCTACGCCGTTGGCGTCATCAGGCTGCGATCTTTGTCTGGCAAACTACTTAGATAAGCAAAAGTAAAAATAAAGTAATGCAAAAATTTATCATGAGAAGAAATGCTTACAATGCATTTCTACTGTTTTTAACTTTGCGTTCAACTATGTAGGCATTTAAGTCGTCTCAGACTGAATTTCAGCTCAGTGGCATAGCTTTCAGCTATCCAGTAACAAGGGATTACCATCGGTTGTCAAAAGTTCTTAAAGTTTACGGAATGGCGTGCCATGAATTATGGCAATCACATATTCTATAATCCTAAGTTATTTATTATTTATATCAGAAGGTAAATTGTTGCGTGCTTCACTTTCGATTCTAAAAGGACTTGAGATAAAAACCCTGCAAGCTGTGGTTGCAACGAAAAGGATGTTGTTGAGAATGGTGAAAAGGGAGAACAGGACGTGTACTCGCTCTCAAGTCGTGACTGCATCAATCTGAGACAGATTCCCGATCCTAGAGTCCTGATTCGATACTGTGTGATCAAAATGCCCTTTAAATGGATGGGTGTTGCAGATCCCATCAAGAATCACAAGGAGGCGTGGGAAGTCAAACCAATATCTAAGAGAGGACAAGGTTTTTCTATTGTGTCCATGCTCCAGCATTTGTGCATAGCATTGATAAAGAATTCTATTACACGGACTAATTTTGCATGTAGTGAATGGATTGGCCTCGCAAATGTTGAGACCCTTGTGGTTCACAGGCACGGTAACTTGATGATGATTTGTTGCAAGGGGTGTCATTATTTTCTAATGGTGACGTTGGTTCTTTTTGACAACCTCAGAGTAGCGATGGTAACGCATATGTTTTGAGTCTTAATAGAAGTAGAGGGATATTGCCCTCCTAAACTGTAGATTAGGCAGGTGTTACCTGCACAGCCGAATAATTGTTGTCTGTGAGTAAGGAAATGTCCGCGGAATGCCTGGCCAACGTGACTGTATAAATTTCCATATTCAGTACACTGCCCTTATCGCTTCAAGGCGGTTTAGGCTTTGAAATGTACGTCGCAGATTATTACTACTTACCTACTACTACTTACCGACATGCTACAATGCATTACGTACGACAATGCCAGTATTCAGTGCAGAACAAAATGCGCTCCTCGCACTAAATGTAATGGAATAGAACGTGCTCGGTTTTAGTGACCTTGAGGGTCCAAGTCCTACTGATGAATGATTTTTGTATTAGTACTTAGGACTGATTAAAGAGATGGTGTAAGCACACGGCAGCCGCGAATGGCACACAACTTGCGCGTTTTGTATCTCTTGTAAATATAGGTGAATATCATATTGGCAATCAGCATGAGGATAAGAGGGAAAGTGGTCAATGGAAAGGGACCAATGAAACTGGTAGGAATTTGATAAAGGGTGAGTCCAGCGGGAGCAGTCGAATTTTAATGGGAGATGTTTCTCAACAGAATGCATTACCATCGATCGGTATTTCTTTAGCTTCTGCAGCAGCCAATACCTTCTCTTCCAATCGCCTTTGAGTCAATCGACCACCTTTGTTTCTCCACGCCCATGTGGATATCGCAGTAGTATGGACAATTTTAATTGGCATAACCTGTAGTTTTACGCATTTTCGAAGCGATAACTTATTTTCTGTGACTTTTGAAATTAAACTTGCACATTTAAAATATCTTCTTACCAACCGTTGGAAACAGCGTTAGGCTGAACTCGTGACCACTACTTGGGAGAGGGCAATGAAGTGTCCTAATTTGAACAAAATATCGAGGACACTAGCACTTGCACTAAGTGTTTACGACTCTTTCGTTTGTTAGACAGAGCACTCGTAAAACCTAAAATGACTCTATTTGGAAGTTGTGGGTTTAATATTTCTCTTTCTTCGGTTAAATTAAAACTTGAAAAGTACTATTCCAAACCAGCTCAAAATCCTTACCGTATACGAATTAATCTCCAATCCTCGTTTTGGTTTATCATATGTTAATGATAAAGCACACGGTATTTCGCTGCACCATAGTCAGTCACTCCGTTTTTATGATCTGCTATTTCT